CCCCAAAACCCCAAAACCCCAAAACCCCAAAACCCCAAAACCCCAAAACCCCTTCGTAATAATTCATCATTGAGTTTGAGAAATGGATCCTCTTGATATTCTTCTTTTTATCTCTAATTTTTATGTCTTCCTCCCTTGATCTCTTAAATCTTTATCTGCTCTTTGAGAATTTTCTGAATCTTCTTTTGCTTTTTGTGCGTTCTCATAGTCTTTTTCTTTAATAAAGTTTAAATCAGCTCTCAAGGAACTATCTGATTTGAGAAGATGCTTTTCATCTGGTTTAATCCATTCTCCCCATTCATCCCCTATTTCCCAGTATTTTTCTCCTTCAAATTCAACGTGCTCCAAATATGATCCTTTTCCTGTTCAGACTTTGCTCTTCTTATCTCCACCATCTTCAGAGATGATAATATCAAAATGGTCAGCAGGTCTTTTTGTCTTATTTAGACCCCCAGAACTTCAACTTCGAACCGAGCTTTGACATTGCTCCCTCCTTGTTGTCTGGGTCGAACACCACTTCCGCTTCGATGTTGTTAGTCAAGTCCTGTACTGTGATTTTGTCACACACGTTGATGACCATTTCGCCGTACACAATTCCATCGATCTGGATCCAGCCTTCTTCAACAATGTACTGGGTTCCGTCAAACAGAGTGATCACGATGGCTCCTTCTTTGTGAGCTTTGACGCTGTTATGGCCATTCAAGTTGGCCTTGAACTCCTGGATGACTTCGAACCTCCATTTTCCTTCTGGACCCTCCATCACACCTGCAGAGACCGGAGGATGGTGGGTGATTTGTTCAGCAAAGTACTTTGTGCCATCTGGTGCATATCTCTGACAAGTTTCTCCGAGAACTGGATTCAGTGGCGACATCGCCTGCAGCACTCATGCACCAACATGCAATCCTGCTAGAATGCTCGTGGTCACATACTTGATCCTCTCAATAGGGTCCTGAACCTTGACAACCTCGGCCATGTACCTCGGGAAGTAAGTGTAGTCGTTCAAAAAGCATTCTAGGTAAGTGATTGGAGCTGCAATTTTAGCTGGAGCTGAAATCTTCATCAGGTCGAACACTTTGAGCTTGAGAAGTTTGCCACCGATCTTCTTCATCATTTCTTTAGAGGCCTCTGGGATCAAGTTGTCTGGGTCCTGGAGTCTGAAGCCACCTTTCTCGTGTGCGAGAGGGTGTCTCTCGCCTTTTACAATTCCTTCCATTTAATTATTTCAATTTTGATTTATTGAATCGGGGTTTTGGGGTTTTGGGGTTTTGGGGTTTTGGGGTTTTGGGGTTTTGGGG